CGCCGTCCCCCAGCAAGGCCGGGGCAGGCCTGCGTTAGGAGCGGCACGTCGGCCTCAGCGGACAGCGGGAGGTCGGTCGCTCTTCGATAAGGCTTTTTCGGCTCCCTTCAGCCTGACGCTTCTGACTGCTGTTCGTCCTCCCTCTCTTCCTCTGCCTGCTTTCTGAATTTCTTTCTCGGCCAAACGCAGCAGTCGTAACCGAGTCAAGCAGCTAAGCTCCTGTCTCATGGAAATTGGTGGAAGTGCTGCACCGAAGGGGACTTTGTAGTTTGAATTTTTGTACGCTATTAAATCCCCATAGACTGCCTGAGCTGAGACCGCACCAGTGGCAAGGAAAACTTAGGAGTACCTGGCCCATGTGCATACCAGAATAATGTAAACGCTTGTTTTAGAACAGGACTACAGCATTTCTTTCTAGGTGTTCAGTTACTCACGTGATTGTTGAATCAGCTTTAAAATTTCATTAAATCAAGTTAGAGTGTTATTTAATTTGACTTCTCTGTAATATCCTTTCCTGATCTTTGTTAGGCAACATTCAAGACTTACGTTTAAATTCATAGGTCTGTGTTATCATTCCTGTTGACCTGGATGGTATAGTTGAGCCTCCCTCCTCTTTATTTTTTCCTTCTAAACAGCATATAATCGATTGCTTCACTATTCTAATTATGCAGATCATCCCACCAAGGTCAGTAATGCTATTTATGTAATGTTTCTCATTTCTGGAAACTTTCACTTCCTTCTAATTACACAGACTCCTATAAGCAGTCGAGAGCTTTTTTGTTTTGGCTTTTACATGCTTTTTGCTTTTGACGTTGGTTCAGTGTCTTCCACAGAAGAGCAAGTTTAGACTTTTTTTTTTCCCCTCAGTGTTAACCATCTTATTGTGGTAGCTAGTTTCTAGTCAAGGATTTGCGGCTACTTTCTTTCTTAATGAAAGGTGAGCAAACGCTCCACGTGATCAAAGCCTTTACTGTTACTCTTAACTGTTAGTTTTTAGAGTTTTTGCATCTTCCTTTACTTGTGGGACTATAACTTCCTTTACCTGTAGGACTCATAGGGCTTTTTTGGTGTCTCAGAAGTACGTTTGGATTTTTTTCAACTTTCATCCAGAAAAAGTCTCTGAAATTGAATGGAGTCTTGCCTGATTGTTTTGTAATCTTCTCCAATCTTGCAGTTATATTGATGACTTAGACTAATTAGTCTAAGACGAATTGGACTGAGGAAGGGTAGTATAATGTCCCATGCTGAACTTCCTGTCTGTGCTTTTTAAAATTGCGTTAGTAAGCGGTTCTGAATGTTTAGGGAAATAGACGAACTTTTCATGAGCTGCGCAACCTTCAAATTGAGTAGCCCCATCTACTATATCTTCAGCAGCTTTCTGTTCTTTTCCTGCAGAGACAATTGATAGCACCTTCTAACAGTGCTTCAACCTGATACTTCTAACAGTGTTGAATTCCTTTTTTCCTCTCAGGCACAAGTTTCCAGTCAGTTGCTTTGGTTTCTGCTTTCTCCAGTTTGCTAATGAGAGATTCTCCTTCTTGCAGCATCAGCAACAATGATTTCTGGATCTAGTTTTCCAAAATATCTTCATAAAAGGAACGCTGAACGTTTCAGATCACTACCATCTATCTCGTTTAGCCACAAACTTGCACTTCTGAATGCTAGAAATACTTAACAGGATCATAGCAGTTGTTCCATCATCATTGTATCTGCTGCATATTTTGAGTATGTTCTTGTAATGAAAAAAGTGCAACGGTCTCTAAAGTTCCTCTGAATTTTTCAGTTTACTTAACAAGTAACTGCTGTGTTGAGTATCACAGCTCAGCTCTGCTCCTTCCCTGAGAATAGCGTCCCAGTTCCACCAATAAGGCTTAAGGCTTTCAGCAGTTGGCAATCTGAGCAGAACTGAGACAACAGAAAAATAAATCTACAAAACCACATTTTAATTATTTTTTCTGCTAGCTCAGAAAAACTGGCCTGCCCTGGGGTCACAAACATTGATGCTAACACAAGGGAGGGAATGCACGGGCAGTAACCCCCATTTTGATTGTTAGGCTGAGCTGGATTTTCACCCTAGGAGAAGTCCCACTAGCACTAAATCCAATCCATTCAAACTTTAGACCCAGACTGAGCAAAAAAAGGTTGGTCTGATGAACTACATACGTATCAAGGAACAGATATTTCTGTTGTGAGATAGTTCTGATGGTGTATAAAGTTTTTAGCCCCTAGCTCTGATGTAGTAGGTCATCTCCTAACTACAGCCTTGAATACACTGGCAACACAGTGGAGATGACCTAGCAGTTCAGTGGCACCAAACAGATAACAGCTCTGTGTGTTCCTGTGTTCAGTCACGGTCCTGAGCTTTACTTTCCTGAATTCCCAGTTACTACATACACTATCTTTACCCAAGCTACCTTTGTTTTTTATAGGATTACAGTGAGAGAGATAAACCGTCGCTTCTCACAAAGGAGAAGTAACATTTCTTTTACTTTAGAGTACAAGACAATCACAAGGACTTGGCGCTTGGTGGAACAAGACACCTTTGGTTGTTGTTAAGCAAAGAATGACAGTACTTTTTCCAGAAAACTTAAGAGTGGAAGTAGGGTGAAGGTGTTGCTCACAGATAAAGTTTTAGCTTTTGCTCTGGCATATTCTAGATACCGTAAGCAAGAGGCTGTGTTCTGAACTAGCTTAAACCTTTTGTCATCTGGAACAAATCAAAGTTCGGTTTCTTATTTCAAGTGAGAAATAGCCATGTTCTAAAAGTAATTTTTATTAAATTTCAAAAAATCTCAAATATTTAAAATAGCTGTTTGAATAAGAAGCTTTATTTTAGCACTGCCTTACTGGTGTATAGCTATCAATCTCTGTATCATGAAATATTAAGGAAAATCATAGTTCTTCCCACCCCTGCTTTAAAATTGGTATTTCACACTGCCTATAAAAGTCTTCTGGTAGACAGTGATATCAGTCTGAGAAATACATGATCAATACAAAAACTAATGTTCATGACTGTAATGGCAGATACACCTGTTCTTGTTTAACTTTCTATGTAGCCATTGAAGAAAAATACACCAGCAAGCCAATAAGTCTAAATAGTGTTCCTGTTGGCCAATATCTGCATATCCTTAAGTGCTTGTCATCAAACAGTTGTCTTTATAGGCGCTAGCCCTGGTGTTAGTATTTTAAAACTGCTGATTGACAGAAAGTGGTAGTAGTGCTTACTGGCTCAATTTCAGACTAGGTTATTCCAGCTGCACCTCTGTAGTTTGCAGGATCAGTCAGCTGGTTTGTTACTTGCACTGGTTAGTTTATGTTTCACTGGGATTATTCATTATATAGAATTCTCTTACTTACTACTGGGCAACAAGGCTAACACGGGTGCCTCGGAGCTGGAGGAAAATGGATCTGAACTTATTCTTAGCATGCAAAACCCCTAAATTAATTTGGTAGCTACTTTAGGATTAAAGCGCAATTTGTTTCACAGAATACACTCAGATTAAGAGGCAGTTTATACAAGAGACCTAAGGCACTCACAGTTAAGGGTACATCAGAGTCCATCACTGAAAAAGAGGGTTATAAAAGAAATACTAGGAAATAGAGAATGCAGGTGAGATAGAAGGGGTGGGAAAGCAAGAACAAGAAATGAGGCTCTTTTAAGGAATGTGCATAATTGTATAGCAACAACTTTGAACTCTTACTTCCCTCCCTTCCCTTGTTTTGTCAGGTTGTTGCTGACCACTGAAAGACGACTTCTGAAAGCTGTTTAAATGAGAATGTCCCTGGCGCAGAGAGTACTACTGACATGGCTTTTCACGTTACTCTTCCTGATTATGTTGGTGCTAAAGTTGGATGAGAAAGCACCGTGGAACTGGTTCCTCATTTTTATTCCAGTCTGGATATTTGATACTATTCTTTTAGTTATGTTGATTGTAAAAATGGCTGGACGTTGCAAGTCTGGCTTTGATCCTCGTAATGGCTCCCAAAACATCAAGAAAAAAGCTTGGTATCTCATTGCAATGCTACTTAAATTAGCCTTCTGCCTTGCCCTCTGTGCTAAGCTGCAACGATTTACTACCATGAAACTAGCCTATGTATTTATCCCTTTGTGGGCTCTGCTTATTGGAGGTATGATTGAACTCGGATACAATATCTTCTACGTACGAAGAGACTAAAATGTAGTGTGTTGTTTCCAAGTCTGAGAATGGTACCAAATTACTGGATTATTATTGCTTTGCCACAAACTTGATCTCTAAGTTAGAACATCAAGTAGGAAATCAGTCACTCTGGGGACCATCTAAACCAGACTGAAAGCTGAAAATAGATCTGTTCCTTTTTTTATTTCAAAACTGTCACACGTGCTCTTGTAAATAAAAGTATGTGTTCAACAGTTGTTTTAGTATGATTTAGTTATTTGTTACATCTAATAAAATTTAGGTTCTTCACATGCTTGTACAAGACCCTCCTAAAGAAACTAAATGTTCTACTGCAGATCATTCAGCATATTGGGCAATCTTGGAAAGACAATCTAGTCGTCTACTACATGTTGTCACTCAAGAAATAACCAGTTAAGAGACACGCTAAGCTTGCTTTAAGAATCAGTAACAGTTAAAAGCCACTAAATGAGAGCAAAAAAGGAATAAAGTGACTTAGTATTTTCTGAGAATCTCAGTTCTAGTGTGAAAGACTAAAGAAATGAGCATTTTTTGAACCACTGAAACATGTGCAATAGAATGTTCACCATATTTACTATGTCTTATGCACTAAAAGACTGAAGCAACAGGGTAAGTTTTTTGGTAATGCATTTGTACCGACAAGGAAGTGGTACTTTAAGAAGAAAGATGTTTTTAATGCCCTAGTATATTAGATCTGTTAAGGGGAAGCTTGGGCTTCATAGAATTTCACCTGATACCAAATTCAGATGTGAGCAAACGTGACCATCTATTCAAGTAACATGCTACAAGCAGAGCTTTCAGAAAGAGCTGGCACAATGAGTTTTTTGGACTTAAACCACTATTCCAAGAGTCAGGATAACACCGATTCAAACAAAGTCTAAAATTTGTCTGATATCATCTGTAGCATGCACGTTAATGATGTCAGTGTATATTTTCTAGGTACAAATGTAAATACAGTGAATAAGCCAGGAAAAAGTGTTGAAGGTTAACAGGAAGTGATTAGGTCAGTCTCCTAACAAAGCTTGTTAGTAGTTGCATTCAACTGCACCTGTACAGAAGAGTTTCCCTAAAACTGTAGGATTTTGCTTGCTTTTTGGGTACCCAGACATAGATATATAGGAGCCACCTTGTCAGAGATTATTGAAATAACTTAAACTATGCAAATGACCTGTTCCATTATAAGACAATGGCTGCACCAGTTTAAAAAAAAAAAAACACACACTTATCTTTAGAAACCATTTAAGTCTGATTTGCTGTGCAGTAGTTGATTGTCCTACTTTGCTAAAAGGGAAGCCAAGGGATGACAAAAAAACCACCTCGCTAATCCTCAGCTGTTTAAAAAAAAAAAAAAGTACCTCTAACCCTCTTATTACAATAAAATGCAGATTTGCCAACTTAAACTAAGCAAATCCATGTACCCTGTCCCAATTTACAAGCATCAGAGTTTGAGGCACTGAAATGACAACTTAAAAGCCTGTTTTATTCTTTTCCTTTAAACATCTACAGAGAACAAAGCATTGTCATTCATTTGCTGGCAACAGTTCTCCCTGGGAGTTGCATCTGTGCCCTACTTAGTTTTTAAAAACTACTACATACCATGAAAGACCCTGTATCAATTGCTACTTGTTTGAGATATAATCTTTTGCTCACTTACACATTGGCTTCCTTCAATGTCTAGCCACATTATGCAGCTTCTCAGATCTGTCAGAGGGAAACTAGGCTCACTGAGCTTCGTAGGCACAATCTTCAGGTATGTCTCATCTTAGGCAAGCTAGAACTCATGGGGATTTTTTATGGGATGCTTTAAGAATTTATGGAAAAAAAATGAAAGTGATAGAAAGACCTACCTCCAGTCAAGACAAACACTTAAACATTGCTTAATCTGCAAATAGGTAACAAGTGCTTAAGCATTTTGAACAAGATTCCAAAAAAGAAAAAGAAAAAAAAAAAAAAAGAGACTGACACCTAAACAGCATGCCCGTTCTTGAATAAGGCTTAATTGTAGAAGGTGACAGAATGACAAGGGCCACACTTATCTTGATTTGGCATGTTATGGCACCAGTGTAAAAATGAGTATCTGTGGACTTTAGAGATCTGAAGATTCTAGCAGAACAAATTAAACAAAAAAAGTCTTGTTCACATGATGTCAAAAAAAACCAAGAAAACAACAAAAAAATCTGTTCAAAAGAGCAGCTTTCGGATGATGTTAACAGATTGTTGCCATTTAATACAAAAATGATGGAGGAGTAAAATCAGTTTCACCAGGACTTGGTATATTAACAAGATGAGTTAGGACTAATGACTCTTCCTCTTTAATAAGCCCCTTCTATTCCACAGGAGTCAAACCCTTTCAGGTAAGTTTTACATCTCTAATTAGCTAAAATCGAACATAGTTCTTCCACATCTCCTTACAATTATTGCCTCTAATTAATCAGAGAAAGAACTTAACTACCAACAGTTTCGCTGTTTTGGTTGTGGGGTTGGTCCCCCCCCAGCCACACAAAAACAAAACCACGACTGTCACCTACAAGCTGAAGTAATCCTGAGTCTGAAAACTGAAGTAGCAGTTGCCTTCTGGTGTTCCTACTGCTGGCATCCACAATCGACTTCCTTTAGCAGAAGCTGTTCAGGATGCAACCACTTGCAAGCACTCGTACTATGTATGTTTGCAAGTTCTTGGTCCTTACAGAGATATTTCGATAAGAGGAAAATCCCTTTTAACTTGGTATTTCGCATCAGCCGTAACACTGACTTAATAGTATGCTGTGATTCCTTTGCAGAAATACTCTTTGTGGTATCAGAACCTCCTTCAGAAAAAAATTATGATAGGAAGTACACTGTAGTCCTTTGCGACCTTTTTAAGAAGGTGTTGCAGGAATTGCAGCTATTTATAATTACCACCATCTGAAAGGCACTGTTCACAGCTCTGAAACAGAATAAATATTTTCCACACCCATTTTAGATTTACAGACTGATCTACCCATCATTAAATGAAACCCTGTCTTTCAGGCAGAAAAAGTAGATTTGATAATGTCAGGGAACAGGGAAAGTTGATTCTGAGACTCACGCCGTTTTGCAAGAAGGTATCAGCAGAAGGAAGTCACTATCCAATTACCAAGTACACTAGGGAATACTTTATGTCTCACAATTATAGGTACCACTGCAGTGGGGTGCAGGGGAGAGAACTTGGCTCTCTACAGCTAGGTTTTTAAGTACAATTCAAAAGCTTGATGTTCTGAAATGAAACTGAAAATATGTATCGTATTTCTTACGGAGATACATATATTACATTATTTATTTCTATTCAAACCAATTATACAAGCTTGAACACTCCAGCATGCACTGTAAGCGAGCATCTACTTTTATGCAGTTCAAGAAAATACTCAATACACACATGTAAGAGATCATGAAACTAACTTCCAATTCCATTCATATTGCTTTTCTTGATTTGTCACAATCTTAGCATAGTGTCAAGTTTATGTCCTTTTATTATGTCACACAACTGTACTTTTGAAGATATATACACCCTTCAACCAATTTTCATCTAAATGCTTTAAGAGTGAGTGAGTGTGTGTGTGTATGTACATGCATCCAAAATTCACTGCTAGGCATGGATGACAATATTTAAAAATAAGATACCGCAGGTTTTAAGTAAGATAAGAATTTAAGAACTGAAAACAGTATTAAGTAATTTGTCATATATGCATAGTAGTACAGAAGCAAAGTCTTAAAGTAACCTCAGGGAAATCTCCACATACATTTTTAGAATGCATGTAGATATGTTTCATTATTTCCTCAAATAATTATGTCTATATCAAATTTTTACATCACACCAAATGAGATTGCAGTTTATAACTGTGCATATAAAGGTATTTATGAAACCAAAAAGTTGTGGCATTCCCACAAACTTAATTCAACCAAAATGAGATGGTACCTACTTCAACACCACTACCTTTTCCATAGTAAAGATCCCAATTCACTGCATCCTCAAAAGTAAGTTTTTTTAATTCAGTAGCACGGAAAAGATAGTGCTATGTGAGTGCATACCCTTTGGAAAAAAAAAAAAAGGTAATTTCAGCTAAGTTCTAAGCTGTATTAGACAAAAAAAAATATTGTACCCTTTCATTGCAGCTTTATCATTTTAAGCTTTGGACAGAGTTCAGTCTCACATTTCAGCCTTTTAAAATTGAACCGGCCTGGATGTCAGTTTTTCCTGTTAAAAAGCAACAAGCTTTTGCGGACTAAGCCAATTTAAGGAATCACTACCTTTAGACAACTAGACTAACTACTCAAATTAATTGAACATTTTCTCCTTGAACTTTTTCTACTCTTCAACCAACTTCAGTAAAATCTGGAATTTCCTAATGTTATTACCTTCATTTTGTCTCTTCCAATAAAATCAACATCAAGATCTGACAAATTTAAGAAGTTTTTTCATATACAGCAGAATGATAGCATAAGAGCAGGAAACAAGAACTCAAGCATAGATAAAATTTAGTGCGTTTTTTTAAAGTTATAAAGAAATCACTGCTAAGAGACATTTTCTAGTCTGCAAATTGCATTTCTCAGATTAACAAATGCTCTCGACTGCATCACGATAGATCATATACTAAAATCACTGCATGCTTAGCTATTATCTGCTTTCGTAATTTTGATTTATGTCACATTAGTCTTCAACAGCTATGTCTAACTGGCTTTTTTTTTTTTGGTCTCTATTTGATAAAAATAATTGGCTTGAGAAGCATAGTCTTTAAAACACAGGCCTAAACTGTACCAAGCATTGCATTATCATCCAGGTGGACTATACCCAAAAAAAAACACTGCAGTCACTTCATTCAAAATTCATCAAGTGTTAGAACAGTAGGTTGCACTTACATTTATATTAATTTGTAACAAAAATTAGTTTGTATTTCTAATTCAGGTTATAAGCAAACTTAAAATATTTGAAGTTAAAATGAAATCTAGCATGAGTTTAGTTATTCTAAATCTGACAGTGTTCGGTTTTAATCATTCAGTTGATTTAATGAAAGCAAGAAAAAGTGTAAGGTGAGGTGTCATGCAAGTATTTTGAATTCTGAACAATTTATACAGAACTTCACTTTTAAAAGTTTATCTAATGAAAACCTCAAAACCTCAATTAAGAGAATTCAACATATATAAACCTGAAATCTATCACATTTGGAGATTCACTAGTAAAGAAAACATACCAAAATGGTTATTCAAAAATAAAACTTGATAAAAATAGAAGTTTAATCTGCTGTTTTAATCATTAGTTGAATCAGATTATCATAACTGTACACGAAGTATTAAAGGACTATTTAGAGTAATGCCCTCACTAGTAAGCTCATATATCAACGTGCCCAGAACACAAGACCATCAATGTTTAGGTGGCACTTAAATACTGCACAGAGCCAAAGCAAGCATTTGTATCAGCACGGAGAAAAACAGGGATTAGAATACAGTGAGTTTGGAAAGTGTATATCCCTGATGATTATTTATAATAGAGTTAGTAACACAGATACTGTGAAGTTAACCACTGCTTTTGGCTGAGAAGCTGTGCACAGAGCATAAAATAACTGGTATCTCTAATGATGTGTGTGACTGGTAGGAATCAAAGTTTCCCAAGTTTTCTGAAATTTGCTGCAAATCCAGTGGAATCTGCACAAAGTATCAGTAACGTCCATTATATAGCTTTTTAAAGTTCATTTTGTCCAATTCAGTAAAAAAAGCATTAGCTGAACACAGGAGTAATTAACAGGGACTCATAGTCAAAGAAAGCACATTTTCAACAATGTCATCCCCAGCAAAATATAGATTAATGGACATTTTTCCTTTCAATTTCCAATTTGCCAATACATTCACAGTTGTGTCAAAGGCGCAGGTCTGCGAAGGCAAGCTTCTCAACAAAATCTGACCACTAGAAAATTTACGAAATTACAGTTGAGAAACCCGAAAAACTTGTTATTGTGTGATCAGAATTTAGTAGCTTTATTCAGTACAGCTTTCATCCCAATAGGGTCATGTTGCAGTCTACTATCTTGAAACAGGCCCAGATTTTTTCCGTACTCACTAGTAAAAATAAACTTTTTTTTTTTTAAATCAGTTCAGCGTCCTTAGTCACATGCAGATATAGAAAAGTCATTTTTTTTAAATCACTGAATACTTTTCCTGTATTTCTTGCATGAATCATTCAATTTTCTGAATTTGAGACGTTCTGCTGATCTGTTTCACAGCAATCTACTATTTGGTTTACATTTCCTATGTTACATGCAAGGCCAACTTATTTGCTCTGCTTAAAATCAACTTTATTTATCATCAAGCAATTCCTTCACAGCTGAATACTTAAATCACTCTCTAAAGTAATACTTTAACACTAAACAGAATATTTCTGTGAAAGTATTGAAATTTTCAATGCAGTAACAAGGAAGGGAAGATTCGCATGCTAGCAGTACCTGTAATGAAAACACTATTTCAGAGTCAAAACGCAGGCATCTCGGGGGCTGGGGGGATGAAATGACACCGAGTAACACTTGTCTGCAACACAAAGTCCTTTGGCAGTGAAATGGAAAGTCTGCCACCCAAAAAGCCACTGGTAGTGACAGTAATGACGCAATTCACTGCTACCCACAAACATGGTACCAGTATCCAAGTAAACATTTCTGAAGTTCTGCACAACACGGCATTAACAGGAACACTACTGCATTACAGTCAATAGGCCTTAAGCAGATTTATCCACTCTGCAGAAGAACAAGGGCCAGAAGAGAGAACTAAAACACAGGACATATCAGAAGTAACAGTTCATCAGAAATAACAGTTTATATAAAGAGCTCCTGGGGGGGGGGGGGGGGAGGAAAACAACAAGCAAAGACTAGTTCCAGTACATCAGAAGGCATGAAAGATTTATTGCTGAAGCAAAAGTCTTAAGTTGTATGTGGCAGGAACAAAGATCATAGCATAGGACCACCTGAAACCAAAGCAAGACTTTTGTCAGACAAATGAACAACTTGGGAGCTGAACTTCGCAGAAAAGGTACTCCCCTCTTAAAAAGCAACCGCATCAAAACGAATACACCAAAAGGTAGAGGACAAAACCACTTTTTTTTTTTTTTAAAGCAAACTAAAAAGTATATATTAACATAGTTACTCAACCCAGAACACTTACATCTTTGAATACAAAGGAAGTTCTGACAGCAATTAGTAATCCCAGCATTGTTCATATTCTGTTTGCAAGGCATTCTGTCTATAAATCAGGATGTAGTTTGTCTCAAAAATCAAATAGGATGCATAAACTGCAAGAACTGATACACTTTAAAACTTGGAAAGTGTTTAAAAAAAAAAAGATTTAGGCAGCTCAGAAGAAGCAAAATTACAGAACCAAGACATACCTGAGCAGGTATGGCAGAGGCCAGGTCAGCCGTGACCACTGGGCAGGTTTTTAAATGGAAATAAAGTTTAAGTTTCAAGTGCAAAGTCACATTTGCTAAAGTATTTTCAAAGATTAATTTACTCAGTCTGGACAAGACCTGTGATGCAGAAAATTGTTTGCTGTCAAGGGGGATGTATACATTTTACTAAAATTTGACACAACTGAAAAAAAAAAGTGCTTGAACCATAATAGATAATCAACATACAGATCACGAGCATACAAATTAGACTAAAAAAAATATACCTAAATGAAATAAAAAACAACAAAAAACAGTATCTGTCAAAACTGGATTTGATGAAGCTGAAGCCTTCTGCTAATCCACTTGAAAAGCTGCATGCTTGGTGCAGACTACAATGTGCAACTCTTCCCTTTTACTGTTCTCCAATAGCTGACACATAGAAGGGGAACAGAAGGCTACATGTTTGTGTGTGCGCGCTCAAGAGGCCACAGGGATTATGGGTGGAAATTTGCACATAATCCAGAAAACCCAAGGGCAACTGAGACTGTATTTCTATCCAGATGACTCAAGTTACCACGTGAGCCAATCTGCTTTTCAAATCGGAATGTGCTAGACTAACATAACTTACCATGCCACACATGAACCACTTGCTTATGGAGTGAGGGGAAAGCAAGATCCCTGAGGCTGCAGAACTGGTAGTAATTTCTTAACCAGCATTAATGAAAACAGCAAGGAAATATTAGCCACATCCAAGAGTTTCTATTGCTTCTCTAATACGTAGTTATGGCTATGCAGGAGTAATGTTTAGTAAGTCAAATGCTGATTTGATTAATAATTCCTTGACAGATCTATTTTAGATTAAACAAACCAGGGCGCTCATCAGTTAAATGCCCGATTTTAGTGCCATGCATAAGTATGCAGTAACATTTTGAATTATACCAACCTATGAGCAAAAAACGTTTGCAACAACAAAAGGGCCTCAGGTGGTTGAATCAGACATCACCTGGAAAAGAAGTCACATTGTTCTGTTGCTACAAATGAAGCCAAAATGATCAAAGGTTATAAATTGGGCACATAAGGACAGACAACTTTTAGAAAGTTATAGGTGAAAAATACAAAAAAATTCACAGATACAGAGGGCTTTAGAAATAATAACAGGCTTAGGATTTTAAGTTTTAAATACTTAGTTGAAGGACGTGCTGCAGGGCAGTTTACTGCTATTTGTAGCTACCTGAAAAGAAACAGAGTTCCGATGTGTTTGAACTATCCAGCAATATGTTACATACAGAATTAAATAAGTTAAATTACAGAGTGTTGCTATTACCACATCAGATGCTAGCTTAGCCTTGAAATCTTCTTCCCTCAGAACACGGCTTAACAGAATTCTAGAGCTCCACAGGAGTGGAGAGAGGTGAGCAGTTAACTTGGACACCACTTATTTTCTTAATGAAATAGCTCTTACTTCTGAACTGCGACTCACAAGGAATCTTCCTACTGGATACGTTGGCAAGTATCTTTATTGCCTTGCACTATCAGCATACGGAGCAATTCAAATCCAAACATGCCTCAGCAAATTGCAGGTCACTGCCAAGACTGAGGCCTTTACGACTTGGTAAGTAAGCGTTTAGAAATAGTCTTTGTTCCAATTTAGTCAGATAACTGACTCAAGACAGTTCCACTTCACATTTTTGAATAAAAGATCAATCGTGGCTTGTAAAGGGGGAGAAAGCAAGCACAGAAGGGAGTCTGCCCCCTTGCCCCAGCTCATCTGCAGAGAGAGGTTGCTGGTGGCACGCACCAGATATCCAAACGTGCTCCACAACGCAAGAAGGTTGGGGGAAGGTTTGCCTCTCTGCTCCACTGTTAACATCTGACAACAGGAGTTTGGGGAGTGCCTTCAATGAGCAACAGTAAGAAATCTGGTGGAGGGAGGGCTGATTTTTCATTCTGAATAATCTTGATTTACAAAGAATGCCTCAACTCTACCTTGATTTGCTACAGCTCCTCACTCCAGCATGGAGTAAAGGCATCCTATGCATTAGTGCAGGTAGAAACATAACCATTTACAGAGGCAGTTTAACTGAATTATTTTTTGCAGACTCAAAAATAAAACCAATTTGTTATTATGAACCTTTATTAAGCGGCTCACATTTCAGTATAAATCACACTAAAAAGATTCTTAAAAAAGATATTTACACTACAGTGCTGACACATTTAAAATGAAAAAATTGGTATAAATAAGCTCTATGGAAAAGCCTGGAATTGTCAAAAAGAATTCTGGCTCATCTTACAAAAAATATATATGTTAAATGTCAGCTCTACTCTAAAACCTACAACTCAAAATTATTTAAAGACTTCTTTATGTTAAACCTGCAGTGTTTACAGTGCATCTGGCCCTAAGTGCTTTGATACTTCACAGTTATGGACAGGCACTGAGGAATGTTACAAAGCTACATAACTATTTTCTGTAACAGACGCGAAGGCAAGTCATAAACTCGCCTCACAGAATTTATGAATCTTTACATTATTACGTCATTAAGTTCAAAAAGGAATTTAAAACTATATATACAAATTTAGCACAAAAAGTCATCTTCTCTTTGTCCATGCAGATTTGGATATGATGAACTATGTTGTCTTGTATCATCTGGATGTATGTGACTTCCAGGGCATAACTTCTCTGGTGTGTCCTTGTTGCCAGGGTCAAATTTAGAATCCATTTCAAACTTAAATGCCGTCAATTCAACGTGATCCAATCTAGTCTGAACAGTCTGACCCTCGATGTCATTAGGTGCTACTGTCTTACCAGCAGAATCAACATTCGTAGATTCTTCTTTTATTCGGTGAGATGCCATAGGTTCATGTTTTATTGACATAAACTCCTCCTGCAGATACTTCGTCTGCAGAGTATCTGAACATTTGGTGTCTTCGGAGGTATTTTTGCTTGTCGTACAAATTCTGTTGTCAGTCTGAAGTCCGATAACCGAAGACTTGGGGTCTGCAGATGTCCCTGCTTCAAGAGTACTTGCATTTTGAGAAAGTTCTTCCTCTGAATGATATAGCTTGAGTCGGATGTGCCAAGCCAAACTGCACACAGCTGAAACTGTTTTGAACTGGTGTACGACATTCCTTGGAATAAAATAAATGTCATTATCAAATAACTGAATTCTAGCATATCGAATGCCTTCCCTTCGGAGTTGATTAAGTTTTGCATCATCCACCCACTGGACGCACTGAAGGAAAATAAAAAAAAAAAGAAGGGTTAAAAGTCTGTTTTAAGACATGCAGAGGACATCCGATTAACAGTTCACAGCACGCTTACCTGTGAGAGTGGGGGTTCGTGCAAATCTAATTGCATTCGCTGAACTACCTCCAAAAAGTCTTCAGCATGAAAACAAATTACATCTTTGGTTATACGAGGCTGCTCAGACCTACAGAGGAGTAAGAGCAGCAGAGTCAAGGGCTGAAATTAAATGCTACAGAGAATAATAAAGAAAACGTGCAGGCAGTGATAAAGTAAAAGTGATCTAAAAATAAATGGGACAACTCTAGCAGAGAACACATACTGAAGAAAAAAAGTTCACTGAAACGGCTACTTCGCAACACAAACGCGTGGAACTGGTGAAATGAATCAACCACAATTTCTTTACAGGTGGTCAACAAACAGTCAACAAGACTCTACTTTTAACTGTCATCTGTCTTTCTTGATGCTGAAAGACAGATGCAGATATGTTCTGCTTACTCTGCCAATACACTAACACAGTAAGCCCATCAGGTACCTTAAAGCATGCAGTAGTCCGACTAGTAGTACAGCAAACATTGCTCGGTATCATAGCCTCGAGCACCTTGTTCAGACTTAACAATAAAACTGAAACTACGTTAAACTACCATGATGCTAGTAAGCAGCAAATACCTGCATCCTCCATAACATCCCTTAATGAGTGTATTTGTGTTCACGGGAGAGCTACAAAAGAGCAAAATCTAAGTTATTGTTTGTCTCCGTATTCCATTTGTTCATGAGAGTTCACTTCTTGTCCCACAACCTCCTCCTCCCACCCTCCAGATAAATACATATCATTTATATAATTCCTCTTGAGGCATTATTCTCTAGAATTACAGTCAGTTAACAAAAGGCAAAAAAAGCTATGACCCCTAACGCTTTCTGATCTAAGAGCCAAACTCAGTTCTTCCACAGAAGACATAAAACCAAGTTCTGTGCATTTAAGAGACATCCATTTTTTAAAAGGTTTGAAAAAAAATGTGATGCTATGAGGATATTTCATTTACACAAATAAAGCTTACATTGGACCTTGTAGATTACACTGAAGAACTAAACTGTATTGCCAGAAAAATATATCAGCTAGAAATAGCATGGTTTATGAAAGACTTTCTTCTTTCTTTCTTAATCCTTTACAAAACCCTTCCCCATCCATAATTATTTTAGTTGCACACCACAGCTTTTTGGCAGGAGCGCAGCATCTTCCCACAGCAGATGGCTGATGCGCAGCAGCGGCACGCAGAGTAGCAGGCCCGCGGCTACCAGCGGTCCCACCACGGACCCTGGTTCTTCCTGCCTCTCCCAGCACCACGGGCCAAGCTGGGTGCTGGAGCTGGGTGCTCAGGCTCCGCAGCCTTCTCGCAAACCCGGGCAGAGCTCTGCAAGTGCCACCCCTCTGTCAAATGCTGCCCAAAGGGACTCATTTACTAGGGGCTGGGGGCGGACCAAAATAGTCCGACAGATTTCAGACTATATTTAATGGATGCTCAAGCACCTTTTTTTAAAAGGCGAGATGAAAACCAAACAATCATGGTGATTAATCAAGTTCTAAGGAGCTGGCAACAATTTACAGTTTAGTGGGCGTTTTAAACTGAAGAGACATGCTTATTTAGATCATGACCTCAATAAAGCAAAGAATATCCAGTTTGGGGTTATTTTCAGAAAAAAAAAATCCAGCTCAACTACTGAAAGTATGCTAGGGAGAATTTTTACCTCGTGTATTTTATTTTCAATTTTCATTTTAATTTTTATTAAAATGTCTCTTTACACGTGTAGAACCTATTTGACTCTACATACTCCCAAAGAGTAGTTAAACATCGAAAGCAAAAAGCTCACAGAACAATCGCTAATCACTAGCATCAAAAACATGAGCTACCTTAATCAGTCTATCTGCTTTTTGTAATGCAATTATGTTTTTATTCTTCAGAAATTCCAGAAGTCCCTACCACAACTATAGTGCCGCTAGAACTATTTCTGGCAAGACAATTTCTGTTAACCTCATCCTTTGAAATGGCTGGACTCCTTTTTAAAACAGATTCGAGATTATAGGTTCCTACCATGAGCATTTCTGATCTCATGCTTTAAGTTTGGTAACATTAAGCAACTTCCTATGACTATTCAGAGAGGCACACATATTTGTTCCATGCACTGGAACAAAACTTGAAAGCTGTCTTGCTGATGCAGAGGACAGAGAAGGCTGAAGTCTGCCAATAACAATGCCGTAAAATCTCTTTTGCTGTCTCTGTAAAAACGACCCCAAATTTCTCCAAGTAAAAAACTTCAAAGTTCCCATGATTTAAAAATTCACAAGCATATTTGCTAATAATATCTAGAGCTCTTCAGCAATTTCTAGACATCTACATAAACTAAACAAGACCACAATCAATTCATTTTACAAAACATCTCTAACTCATCTTTGGGAAAGAAAAAATAATCTTTTTTTGATCTTCCAAATGATATGTTTTGTTTCTAGTTCTGTCCTCTATCCTCAAAAGCAGCTTTTTTTTTTTTTTTTTTGCATTTCAGAAATTCTATCTTTTCTGAAAGACCCTGTTTATACTACTTTAATAATATAGGTACCCATACTACCTTAATATTCATGACTATCAACTACTAAATATATGCCACTTTAAATCTTCAGGAACTTCCGAATTATACCATTTCGTCATCTATGATAATTAAATCAGTTCACCCACAGAGCTGGGTGCTGACTATTTAATTACAGCTGCCCTCATAAAAGGACTCTGCTACTTCTTCCACAGTTGCATTGAGTGTACAAGCGACAGTGCTGAGTTCCCAACCTGAATCCTTCAACTCGAGCAGCCATCAGTTTTACAATCTTAATGATTATCAGAAATGTCAAATTCTTTGCATGTGATCCAGCAACTATCTCACAATATACGATAATCTCTTCATAAATATTGTAGGAATATGTTGTGGGGCTTCCCCGCTGCCACCAAGAAACAGATGGCAGCCACCAACAACAGCAAGTGAAGTTCCTCAAGATACATTGTCCACATACACGCTCCGCTGCCGCTGCATAGACGTACCTTAAACGTGCTAAAAGAGATTTTTTGCCCAAGAACTATTTACGCAGAAGATGCACATGCATTGCTCCCCTTAGTGCTCTGCAGCCAGATCATAAGGCAGAACATACTTCTTCAGTTTCCTCTGAGCACAAAAGCCAAGGGTAGACTCTCACAGAAACACGACTTACATCACCGATGTGGACAGCACTTCTTAAAGAATTCAGTAATGGTGGGAAGCAACTTCTTGTTCTTTAAGTGCTTTTCTGTATATATATTCTCCTACAAGCAATGCAAAGCTTTTCTGCATGCCTAGCTCATTTTCATACTAATTACAAATAACTTAACAACTCAGGTCAGCAAGTCTAGGAATTGGTTCACCTCCCTCACAAAAAACAGAATGTTACTTTTATATATGGAATCTCATCATTGAAATATGTGCTTTTTTAGTCTAAGGTTTAGTTTTGTCAAGCAACGTAAATAGATTAAAAAGAAAAAAACTTTCAAATTTTTCATCCATACTGCTTCCTTTAAAATAAATCTACTCACAGCTTGAAAATTATGGTAAAGTACATTAAAATAATTTTAATGTTGCATTATTAGTTAAGTAACGATGCTTCGTTATCATAAGCCCTGATTAACGGTCTTCACAGTAGGAGTACAAACTCCTTTTCCAAATTATACATGCACTGGTGGACAGGAAACAAATTATCTGAGGTCAAATCAAACTTGAAATACCACAATCAACACAAAAAACATGCATTTTCTTCGTCTACATATGCAAGCGCTAAACTTTAATTTATTCTACATTAAAATATACATTTTCAGTCTTTATATTGAAATGAAATGCTGATAATTACATTTTTGCCTCACTGAAGCACTTTCAAGAAGTTCTGCCCAATTTTGCCCAAATCAGATCACTTCATTTTTATATATATTTACTGTATATATTTTAAAACTAATTCCATTCATTTTTTCAAATTTAAAGCGCGTTTTAATAAAGTATGAATAGACTCCTTCTAGAAGGGAGAATATGGAAGTTATAATTTGAAAAGAATAAAAAGCAAGAATAATATATTTTAGAATATAAATGAACATGTAATAGTTTCTAGGGGAGAAGAATCTTGCTTTGGAGGGGTGGGGTGAGAACGAGAAGTTATCATAGACATTTAAATTGCTATCTTTTTAAATTCTTATTAATTTCCACAGGCGCTACTTTAAAAAACAACCAACCAACCAACACAAAATCTTTCTTTGATAGCTGCGTTTGCCTCTCTCTCAAGGAGAGAACATAATTTAAAATAGTCAGCTTTACACACTTTCCCAGGTCTTGCCCTGTTACCACTTGGTTATAATCCAGTCCAGCTTCTCCCAACTGCAGCAAGCAGGAAGTTCAGCTCCAGCTGTTATCAAACTGGAGAGGAAATAAACTTTGAAACCTCAGAGCTCGTAACAGAAACACATTATTAACATGTGAACAATCCAGTTCTTCCCCGACAGCAATCTCATTATTATAAACTTGTCTCAGATAACTCACGCACTATCGCACAAATTTGCATCATTTCATCCAAAGGGAATTCCACTCCTAGACAGAGCAAAAGGCGATTTTTGTGCTTGCTTCAGTGTGAAAAGCTAACCTCTAAAACCAATGCCATCCTCCCAGACCAAGATTACAAGATCTTGAAAAGACATTCTTAGATTGGTGCCAGGGGCTTTTTATTTGGATAAAATACAAACAGCTTCTACTAAGCCAGATTCGTTTCCTGGATCTCATACAGGAGGGAGAGAGGGAGGGAGGGAGGGAGGGAAAGACCAAAGAATATCATATAACCTCCAATAGGACTCTGCCTGTGTGATCTACCATGAATAAATCAGGCTTAGAACAGTCACTACTTAGAAGCAGAAGCATAAAAACGTTGCTTATCTCCAGATGACATCGCAAAGAATTGCTAACAGGTTTTCAGGTGCCTCTCAGAGACAGAAATTCAGGTCAGTCAGTATGCACTATTTAAAGTGAAACAAAATATAAAGTGTTTTTAAAACCAACTTACTCACAGCAACTCAATTACAGCTATTGAACTACCATTGCAAGGCACCTTTTTCATTTCTACCACATACCAAAGCAATCTAGCAGAGTGCAAGCTCAGTACTTAGCTCTCAGAGATGGGGGCGGTGGCAGGGAGGGATTCCAACAGCTATTATGTCTTCTTTAAGTCTATAACATCAGATTAATCTATTCACTACCCCTTCTATCATTTAGAAATGGAAACTGAAGCAAATATTTTTCAAACATACAGCTGAGTAAATCAGTCAATACATACCACTCTCCACAGTGCACAGCCTTCAATACTCCCACAGCAGCTGTAGTCTGCCGTTCAAAGCCTTGTCCTATGTGATCTGCATGGGCTCGGGTCCGGTCTTCAAATAGCATTTCACGGGGCTCACTGGTTCGAGGTAGGTACTGCAAGTTTTTTATTTCATTGGTAGTTCTGCGTAAGAAAAAATATATATATTTTACATATAAAATATATAAAAATAAGCGATAGAGTAATTTCCCTTAAGGACTTAACTTCTACCCACAGTCAAGAGGATTGTTTCTTCCTTCAGTGTAAATGTATGGTCAAATCAGAAAAGCAGTAATACTTGAGACAAAAATGCAAGTGTAAGAAGCTACACAAAAATCAGAACACCCATGCAATATTAAAAAAAAAGTTTCAGGGTCTTGGGTACACTAACAGCTCCTAATAGCCCTGACCAGCCTCAAGCTGGGGCCTCCACCCACAGTCCCTACTCAAGGGCCCAGAAGTTCTATTTAAACTTGGGCTCAGTCCCTGCCCTAGTTGCATCGTAGAAATACTGGTCTCTTAACTCGGCCAGATTTACGCCTGGCCATGGACCCTGTTGATCCCACACCCACAGACTGACTTCCTGGCTTCACCTTGGCCTTGCGCTGTCACCGTGGACCTTCCTATCACTGTGTCTAACTCTATTTACCATCACTAGTCCTGACCTTGACCTGTAGATTGACTTCCCAGCCTAATCTCACACCTACCTCATCACCATGAACTTGCCTGATGACCTGGAGACATTGCTAAACCTGGCCACCATCTCTAGGCCTGCCCTGCTCATCTTGCTCAGGTAGTGCAAGACAGGGCCCTGACTGTCAAAGCTCCTGCCCTGCCAGCCTTGTTATCGTGCTCAGCTCCTACCTCCCTGAGTAACCAGCCCTCGCTGCTTCCTGACAGTCAGGTACGAATGATAAAAAATAACTTAAGGAAAACTAGTGTATGTTTCCGAACAGTTGGAAAATGTGCATGTATACTTAGTTCAAAATTGCAGAATACAAAATGGAAAGGAGCAAAAGATTTATTCAATATTTTAATGAAAGCAGAAGAAAGGGGCAAAGCGGGAACAGAGCTGCAAGAACATTACTTGGCCAGCCCAAGTCCACATTGCATGACCACAATACATTACTAATGCTAAATTCAAGACCCACTTAGAGTCGTAGAATTATTGAGGTTGGAAGGAACCTCTTGAGGCCATCTAGCCCATCCCCCTGCTATATTAGGGCAGGTTGCTCAAGACCACGTCCAGTTGGGTTTTCAGTATCTCCAAGGATAGGGATGTGGATGCTGAACAGCTCTGGTGTTCAGACCACCCTGACAGTAAAAAGGTTTTTGTCCTTATGTTTGGAATTTCTTGCGTTTCAGTTTGTGCTCGTTACCTCTTGTGCTGGCACTGGATACCACTGAGAAGAGTCCAGTTCTCTTCCTTGTACTCCCATATCAAATATTTATATGCACTGATAAGATCCCTCTGAGCCTCTTCTTCCCCAGGCTGAACAGTCACAGCGCTCTCAGCCTCTCCTTACACGATGGAGAGATGCTCCACTCCCTTAGCAGTCTTTGTGGCCCTTCACCAGACTGGCTCTAGTAGACCCATGTCTCTCCTGTCCTGGGGAGCCCAGGACTGCACCCAGCACTCCAGGTTTAACCTTACCAGGGCTGAGTACAAGGAAAGGAAGGGAAGGATCACCGTGCTTGACCTGCTGGCCATGCTCTTCCCGATGCAGCTGAGGCAGCCGTTGGCCTGCTTTACTTACTACAAGGGCATGTTGCTGACTTATGTTCAACTGGTTGTCCACCGGAACTCCCAGGGCCTTTTTTGCCAGGTGCTTCCTAGACAGTCGGTCCCCAGCCTGTACTGGGGCCTGGCGTTATTCCCCCTGTCAGGCACAGCTCTTGATGCTTCCTTGTATCAGCTTCATGAGTCTCCTGTTGGTCCATTTCTCCAGCCTGTTGAGGTCCTTCTCAACAGCAGCCCTTCTCACAGTTCTGTATCATCCGCAAACTTGCTGCGGGTGCACTCTGCCTCATCATCCAGGTCATTCATGAAGATGCTGCACAGTATTGGCTCCAGTAGTGACTAGTGACTAGCCTCCAGCTGGACTCCGCGCTGATCACGACCCTCTGAGCGCACCAGTCAGCCAGTCTTCGTTCTATTTCGCTGCCCACTGATCTAGCCTGTACTTCATGAATTTGTCTATGAGGATGTTATGGGATACCGCACCCATTGTCCACAGCCTTGCTAAAGTCAAGAAAAACCACCTCCACCACCACCCCCCCCCACCCACTGAGCTAGTCATTTCAGTTTAGAAGGCTTTCGGGGGGGTCAAGCATGATTTCCCCTCTATAAATCCAGGCTGACTACTCACAATTACTTTCTTGTCCTACATTTTTCAAAAGGGTATCCAAGATCATTTGCTCCATCACCTTCCCAAGGATCAAGGTGAGGCTGACCAGCCTGGAGTTCCCCAGATCTTGCTTCTCTACCCTCTGGAAGGTAACAGTGGCATTTGCTTTCTTCCAGTCCTCAGGAACTTCTCCCCAACACCATGACCTTTCAGAGATAATCAAGAGCAGCCTCACAGGGACACTGGCTAGCTCCTTCAGCACTCACGGCCACATCCCATCAGGGCCCATGGACTTGTGTACATCCAGTTTAAGTATTCCCTAACCTGATCCTGCTCCAAAGGTAAGTCTTTCTTGCTCCAGACTTCCCCTCTGGTCTGAGGGACCTGGGATTCCTGAAGGTTGGTCGTACCAGTGAAGACCGAGGTGAAAACAACATTGAGTGTCTCGGCCCCCTCGGTGTCCTTTGTCACGAATTCCTCTGCCCCATTTAGCTGTCTACTGTAATCTGCCTTTCACTGCTGATAGGCCTGTAGAAGCTCTTCTTGTTGCTCCTTCACATCCCTCACCAAATTCAACTCCAGATGAGTTTTGGCTTTCTTAATCCCATCCCTTCATGCTCATATGGTGTCTCTGTATTCCTCCTGGGTCACCCAACCTTGCTTGCTCTTGTATGCTTCCTTTTTATATTTGAATTTTGATCAAGAGAGCTCCAAAGAAAACTTATGGCATATGAGAAATGATATCAAGTTCTGCAGAGGACATTCTTCTTCTTAAGCGAGTACCTATACCCAATACCACAGCAAGGCTTAAAGACTGCACTTAATGCTGGAAGTGTCACCTTTCAGATGACAGAAGCTCTCATCCCTTGAGGTCTTTAAAGATCCAATTACACTTGAGAACCAGGCTGTTAATACCAATGTCCTAGCATAATTCTAATTTCAGTAGTTAAATACAGCCTATTCGCATTTCCCTGTGATTTTCCCCTCACTACATCTGAAGTTCACTGCATGAGGAAAGTAAGGAACATTCAGACCACTCTGTAATCTTAAAGTCTTTTTAACACTTTCTAAAAAAGGAGGACTGGCATATTATCAGGCCAGACAGTAAATGGAATAAAAATGGAAAAAAAAAAACCTTTCCAAAACAAGTTGAAAGTTTATTTTGAGATCAAGATTTACAGAAATTTATACTAAGATACAGTATCAACCATTAAAATGTTCACGATAAATTGAATTTGTAAAGAAAAAAACATTAACCAGACACGCATCAAGCATGAGTATGTCAACATACCTCTTCCTTTTGAAAGGTGACTTTGGCATGTCAGCCACAGGGATCATTTGTTCTCCTGGACGCACCCACATGATGGGACCATCATCACTGTCTTTGCGGCTCTCTAATTTTAGACTAGAAAGTGTTCCCCATGGCAGCGTACACTAATGGGAAATACAAGCCACAGTTTTGAAGTGGGTTACTTGAAAAAAAAATTTTTTTTTAAGCAGACTTTACCTGGCACAATGAAAATATTTATGATACTACTCCTAAATATCTAAGCAAATATCACAGTATTCTCACTCTACTACGATGGAATTTGAGAAACTATTGCTCCCCTTCTACCATCCCATTCCCTTTCTCTCCTTACTTTTAAGAAAGGTGATTCTTCCAACATATCAAGGAATTCAGGAAAGTAATCCCCCACTTCCTCATCAACTGCTCCAACTAGGCTGATCTGTCTCATTGGGCCAGCTCTATAGGTACCATGAGAGTATGTTCTTTTTACCTGGAAATAGAATATGACAAGCAAAGTTATACTGAGTTCGTGACAGTCCAAAAATGTACATGCAATAAATATCTTTAATCCCCATGCATGTTTTCTGTGCGATGAATATTAGTCCTACAGTCTTCATTATACTCAAGATTAATATGAAGTCAATTACTATAAAAATTCTTCTCATTAAAATTATTTGACAACTTGCGTTTTATATATTTAAATCCTGAATAAAGGACTGAGTAGCTATTGCCCTTTCAAAAAAAAAAACCCTCAAGTCTAACCAAATTCTTACGTTTTTCCTGAAAGAATTATGCCATAGCACGCAACACTAATTTAGAACTCATTAAATGTTAAACAATCCCTCTGCTAATTGTCTTCCCCAGTATGGCCACTCTTGTTAACTGACATGAGCACATTAACCTGAGACATCACAGTGAAGTCATGGCCCATAAAGAGCTAGCACAGAAAACGAGAGAGAGACAAGTATTCCTCCATTTTTCCCCCCCGTGTGCTGTGCTAACTCTTCTTCCTCTCTCATAGTACTTAAAGGCCATTGCATTCACTCCTTCATGAAAAACAATCTTTTATTTTGCATTTGCAGAAAAACATACACAGCGTTATAAAGCTTCTTGAACAATCTGAGCTGCTATGTTACGTGAACAAGACGTTTAGGCTGATGAGGATCACTTCCCCTGAAGCTTCTGATCTCCTGTTTAACAGGCTGAAAGATACAGTGGTATTATTAGATGAAACACGAGCAGATCAGAACAGAGGTAAAAGCAGATGGATTACTGCCCAAAGTAAGGTGTTTCTCTTACATTGCATCTCTAGATATTCTTGTGTCCAAAGCCAGACAAGAAAAAGAGTGCAAGAAAAATAATTAAGTACAACTACTCTCCTCACCCAAATAGACAATTTAAATTCCTAGTAACTATGGCAGCACAGAGGAAAATTAGCAGCAGTTCCAGAAAATAGGACTGTATCATACAAAAAAGAACAATATCGTGCGCTTCCTAGAAACGAGACTGATTTAACAAGACGCATTCCAGAAACGCAGAACTAAATACTCTTCTTCAGATCATCTCCTCAGCGACATACAGCCAGGAAATGGAGGACTAGCTAAAAGTATGGTTTTTACAAAATGTCTGAGCCAAAACAACGGCAAGCCGTTACAGCCATAGTGAAATTAGTGGTACTGCTACAGAGCATTTTTCCCCTTACTCTCCAAATCCTTAGTCATGCACTCCCGCAGCTCCTTTACACTGACACCTGCTGATTTTCTGATAAAGCAGCAGAAAACCTTAATTTCTGCTGAAACGGTCAAGTCAGTCTATGGTCACAGCTGTGTCTGCACTGACACAAAGTGGTAGGAGCTCGCAGAACTACAGTACAGGGTCAAGGAAGCAATGCTCACTTTTCATTATGGGCTTGCTGGCTAGATCAGTTCAGAATTATCCTAAAAGCTACAGATACAGTCACAAATCTGTCAATCTCTGTTTATTGACACAAGCTGAAAGTGCAAGAGGATGGCTGTTCCACCAGCATAAGTGGTTCATACTCTTCCATTCCAGGCCATGATTTTCATCTGCCATTTTCAAATGACAAAAATCCACACATTTTATTAAAGGGGGCTATTCTTCTGCCTTTTTCCCCCTACCTTCTTCTGCCACCACAACCATTCACATGGCACACAATGAACCTGGTTGTGGAACCAATCCAGCTGAAAACTAAAACTCCCCAAAAAAACAATTCAGTGAAGTGAAGGTTAGGGACGCTATAGAGCTTTCAGCTGGATCTGTTCACTCATTTGGTCTATCATACATCACTAAGTGTTGGCAATGAAGCACAAAGTTAGCAGTGAAGTGTTCAAGATTACTCTCGCTTAAATCAGACTAATTAGGAAACTGCTTATGCACATATCCCAAAAGATCATACCACTGAAAGTTACAACAGAAAAATCAGCTCAACTCTAAGCATTAGTTGTGCATCCTAACTCACTCCTAGCTCTTCTAATCAATTATGTCCCCCTCACTCATATAGAACAGCTTTATTTCAATATCCAGGTTGAGAAAGGAGAAGTGCCAGATATAACGCTAAGACAACAAAGCCTCAAACAGTGAGTGGTTCCTTCTGGGACAATATTCAGAAGTTCTAACGTAGGAAATACAGTGTGAAAGGTCTGAAAATTTAAGAAGTCAATAAATCCCTGCTGGTGATGAAAGAGGCAGAGAAATCTTTTTTTTTTCTCTCTCTCTCTCCATCTTTCCTGCTAGCATCAGGGCTTCTAAAGCTGGACAGGGAAACAGCTTAGGGAACTGCTCCTATTTTATTCCACAAAAAAATCAAGATTTTTTTCTTTTTTTAAAGAAAGTAAGAGAATAAGACTTCATTGAAGAGGCAAGGCAGAAAGACTAATGGCTGGCCAGAAAGGAGAGGGAGTCTGGAGAAGGAGGCAACTGTTGGCAGTGAGCATTAGCTTCCGAAGGAGCCAGCTCCAACTCCTCACCCTCTTTCACCACTTTTTCCTGCAGCAGCAGCAGCACACTTGTTCTCTAGTTCAAGGCTGCAAGGAAGCACAAGAGCAGACTTCCAGTTGCTCTTCAAAAACTCCTATCTCATCTCTTCCACCAAAGGCTCAGATCATCTTGAACTCTAGCCTCAGGGCAGGCGATGCTATTTCAGTAATACTAGCTTATACTAGAAAAATATACTTAAAAAGGTACAGTCATTATTGCAGGAAAGAAGTCACCAGCAAACAGAATTAGTTACACTCAATAATGAAGAAGAAATAGAAGTATTCAAGCAATTCTTGAAGAATTAGTTTCAGGAGAATTAAATGGCTAATTTAAAAAAAATTTCACACACTGACAACTGCATTTCAACAGAAAGATAAAAGGCATACTACTTAAGCAATTCATGAAGTCAGTTCTCTCTAACAAATATCATATATGCCATGGATAAAATCATGTGTTTAGAAATGAAACAGTCATTGTATTGTTACTGTAGCAAAACGCTTCAAAAGCCAATCTTGTTTTAAGATCCAATTTCCACTCTTTACTAGTAAAGTTCCTCAAGCTTCATTGAAAGTCTGTTCGCTTACACAAAAAAAACAAGAAGTTCAGCTGGAAGACAGAAAAAAATTTTTTTTTTTAAAGTACAAGTTCTGCCTCTTCTTAAATGTCTTAATAAGACTGCTACTAGCTGAACATTTAAGTTGTATCCCTTTTAAGTTTTATCCCCTTTTCTAGGCATAGTCCTCAAAGATTTATGTGTACAGGCTTCCTAAACAATTATTTCAAAACAGAAGAAGAAATAAAAACCCCCAAAGAATGGAAGAAAAATCAGGCTCTGGTATAAACACAAGTTTGTAGAACACAAGACATTACATTTATTTATTTGAGAGCTTTAAAAGAATTCATTTTGCTAGGTAATGATCTAAAATTCCAGAAAACCTTCTACGGATGTTGGAGCAGTGACAGAAGTCATCTGAGGCATACTGACAAGCACCAAAAAATTTACCTTTCTTTTTACTGTCAGTATCCCTTGGTTGGTTTAATCACAGGAAGAGAAAGAGATCCCCACATATCATTCTAAACTCTAAAACAATGTTGATGTGATAAAAAGAGTATTTCTGCATCAAAGTCTACACATTAAATTATGCATTAAGCATATAGAGTGTGATTGGAGGTCGAAATATTATGCACCTTTTACAAGGGACTCACTCTAAATGTAACATAACAAACAAACATTTTGAAAGAGCCAAACAAGAATTTCAGACTTTTACAGGTTACAGTATTTTACTGTGTTTCACTACATTTGAATTTTCTCAAATAAATAGCTGGTAAAATACAGACGCAAAACAAAAGAAATAGTCAACAACATAGAATTCTTCTGTTGCCTGGTCAACATGCCTTCAATCACACGCACATACACACAATAACTAAGTGCCAAAAAGGACACACAGGGAAAAAACAGACACACAGACCTGAATAAATCCAACACAGGTGAACTTCACCTCTCATGTAGTAGCTTAGTTTGAAATATGTCACCAAAAAATATACACAAACAGACCCCATGTCAATCTGTTGCACCAAACTAGTGCAAAATGACAACACTAAAACCACTGTTGAATTGAGAATTAGTAACACTTGGGAAGTCTCTGCTTCTGAGACTACTATAGCATCAAGTGCATTTTTAGTGCAGTTTAACTCATGGGTTTTAAAGTAAAGAGTTCTCAAAAACGTGTTCACATAAATGTCTCAGCATCTAAAAGAAGAACCTGAAGAGTAATACTGAAATTCTACTAAAACAATACTGAAAACATTTGAACATTGCCATTTTACAAATGGGAAATATTTTAGATATTACATTTTGAAGACGTATTTGGATATTCTGTATGGAAAAAGATACAAACATAGGAACTACAAGTAACAATCCAGGAAACGAAACATTTCAAGAATGTGAACTGGGGCAAAGTCACAAACAAAGCTCTACTTTTAATATATATTATTTTTTCAGTTCTTCAAGTTTTAATATTTTCTATGAGAATTTTAATGGTTTAAATGTTTAAGTTTTTCAGCTTATAAAACAAGCCTAGAAAAAAGTGATCATCATACAACATTAGAAACAGGGGGGGAACACCACCCAAAAATCATTTCTCAAGAAACCCACAAAGAAAGCCCCACCAAGCAATAAAGTAAAAAAAAAAAAACACAACACAAAAACAACAATACACATGCACATTAAACCACCATAAAAATATGCTGGGAAATCAGAGAGTTTCAGAATATTAGGTTTTTATTTCAGTATACAAGCACACAAGAAACACACTTAAAGTTTCTCATCTTAGAAGTAGAAACATCCAACTTCAGGCTCACTGTTCTTACCCTAATTCAGCTATCTGGATAGCTATGGACGTTTAAGAAAAAAAAGCAGTGCAGCATTCCTCATCCGACACATTCTGAAAGAGCACCTGAAAGTCTTTCTGTTCTTTGCCACCTCTTCTCAAA